AAGAACCAAGATGCATTATATAAAGGTACAATTCCCAATGAGAAAAGTAATTGTGTTGTATACCTACAATGTACCAATAAAAGAATTTAACAACAACAAAAAAGATTCAAGTGATTCAAACTCCTGTTATTTACACAACCCACAATTTCTCTCATATTTCAGAGAATATGAGGGAAATGACTTATAATTCTCTTGCTGACCTCTAGATTGGAGCTACTGCTTGCTCTTGGGTTCTAGTTTGGGAAACATTTCACCTCAAGCATGTGCTGGTTCTTCTCTGCAACCCATGAGCACTGACCAGATGCATCCTGATCCCTTCACTTTCTGAAATTCCAATGACTGTAATGTAGCTAATATAATGTCAGCCAAGATTCAAGATAATGGGAGTGATTCACTTTGTAGAACCAGAACAACCTAAAAATGGCATCTGTATAAGCAAGAGTTTTCCAAAGGAGCAGAACCAGTAGAACATATGTATGAGTATTTATTAGATCAGCTTACATGGTCAGAGGCTGAACTGTCCCACAATGGCTGTCTACAGGCTGGACAGCCAGGATTGAAATAGCTGTTTATTCAAAGAAATTGGAAGCCTCAGAATAAGAGGGACCAACAGTGCAGCCCTTGTCCAATGCTGAAGGCCTTGAAGCCCCCCTAGAGTGTCAGCGGTGCAAGTCTATAGTCAAAGGCTAAAGAATATGGAGTCTGATAGCCACAGGTGATGGCAGCAACAAAAACAAAACTACAACAATAACAACAACAACAGAAACCATCACTCAAGAAGAGCTGAGCAGGGCCAGGGATTTAGCTCAGTGGTTCTGCCGCTTGCCTCGCAAGCGCAAGGACCAGAGTTTGATCCCTGGTACCAAAAAAAAAAAAAGAAGAGCTGAGCATACACATGCAGCTTACTCCTTCTTCCAATTTTTCATACTGTCCAGCTCCCCAGCCTAGTGGATGGTGCTGCCCACATTTAGAGGTCCTCTCCACTCAGTTTTTTGACCCACATGGCAGTCAACTCTGAAAAAATCCTTACAAACACACCCAGAAGTGTGTTTTTACTGATTTCTAGGCATCTGTCAATCTAGTCAAGTTGACAACCAAGATTAACTATCACAAGTCCACCCCTTGTCAGCTTGGCACTCAAATATATCTCCCTAAACCACATTTAATTTCCAAATAAAGACAACAAGGTCATAATTCCACTTTACATGATTTAACTATTCTGTGCACAACCAAACACTAATTCTTTCCTTAGAAGTGGAGGTACAGTTTTTTGAGTGATGTATACCCTTGCTTTTCATCTTATGGGGCATTCATTTCTCAGTGAGGTCGTTTCTCCAAATGCCTTCACAGAGTTGCTCTGCTGCCTGCCCTCCCCTCATATCATTTTTTTCACCAGACAGGGTCCAAGCCTGCTCCCCAAAGTGGAGATGGGGAATAATGACTCATCTTACCTATGGGCAGGTTGCAGGTTCACTGGCTTCTGTCACAGAAAAAGAATTTTCAAGATGTATCAGTAAGAAGCATAAGGGGTTTATTAGGCAGAATTATGAAAATACACACTCAAAGAAATAGTTTGAGCCCTCAAAAGGGGAGCAGGACCTCACGGGCAGGAGCTGGGGATTCATGTGGCCTTGGGAGTGTCCCTAAAATGGATTATCTAGGGTGTCTATTCTAGTGTCTGTTGGTTTACCTATTTAATGGACCATGTGAGAATGCAAACTCTTCACATGGATTTGAAACTAAGATATGTTGTCCACTTAATAGGGAACATCCTGGAGTCTGCAGAAGGGTGCTTGTGGTAGGAAGGAGTCCACTTTATAGGGGAAAAGCACAGGCCCTGAGCCCAGTTTACCAGCTTGCTGTCTTTAAGACATTTAGGAATTTTTCCTGAAAGGGAAAAAAGCTTGAATAATTTTTGTGTCCTAAAGCTGCAGTTCATCCCAAAAGTACAATCCTAAAAGTACTTCTTCCTCCTTTCTATCTTTGTTGTTGTTGTTGTTGTTGTTTTCGAGACAAGGTCTTGCTTTGTATTATAAGCTGGCCTTGAACTCATTATATAGCCCAGGCTGGTCTCCAACTAACAGGATCCTCCTGCCTCAGCCTCTTGAGTGCTGGGATTACAGGTGTGCACCACGGCATCCATCTTCCTTTCTATCTGTATTTCTTCTAGTCTACCTCATTTTTACTTCCTTCTTCAAACCACACCCCCAAGGACTTTACTTCTCTCATGGCTTCGAGGCATTTTACTTGAAAGGATCTTTGAAGTCTGTATTTAAAAATTAAAGAAGTAGCTGAGTATGGTGGCACAAGCCTAATAGTCTCAGCACTCTGGAAGAGTGAAACAGGAAACTTGAGAGTTTAAGTCCAGGCTTTGGTACATGGTGAATTCAAGGCCAGCCTGGACAGCAAGGCTCTGTCTCAAGCAATTAAAATAAAATAAAATAGAACAGAATTCATGTTATTTACCTACTGAGGAGCTTAGGCTCTGAGCTTCCTAATACTCAAAAAAAGAAGGGACGTCTTCGTTACAAGGTTCACTGTGTTCATAAACTCGCTCAGCAT